GGGGGGGGGGGGGGAGAGCCGTCGACGGGAAGCAGCGCGCACCGCGGGTGCCGGTGAATATGTGTGTTGAACTGGCAACGATGGACCGTGTAACATACTTTTTCTAAGTGGCAAGGTTTCGACACGCGCAATAAACACTTAACGTAAATGTCTAATCGTGAACACGTTACGATGTATCTAACCATTGCCCGGGCCCGTCCACGTTCCCCCCGCGCCAAAATCCCGCCTAGAGCTTGTACAAACGCGCGCGTCTCTCCTTTTTCTTTCTCCCCCCGTTCCCGTCGGTGTAGCTCCGGCCGGAAGTCGACGAACGCGGGGGGAACGCGTACACACGACGCGGGCTCGGGCACGTTCGAAGCTCAATGCGAAACTAAAGACACATGTTTTGGGTGTAAATCAACGCGGGGACGGCGCTCGTGGCGAGCTTTACGGCCTCTCTATTGTCGACTCCGAGGGGAGCCCGTTGCAACGGTCTCGCAGATGAACCGAACGGCGATGCAGAGCGAACTAATTCTCTCGTACACTTTACTCGCTTGTTTCCGCGAGCTTCGCTTCTGAGTCGCGGCACTGTTTTCCATCGAATGACCGGTTTCGTTCAAGGCCGACGTCTCGCGACCTAACCTAACAAATTACGCGTGATATACTCGGAGTGTTCGTACGCCTATCAAAACGCTGGAACTTCTTTAAAGATTGGACTGAACGACTTGAATTTTTTCATGATAGAGAAGATTTTAAAAATTGCAAATTTCTCACGCAAAGTTGTGATTTTTGCAATCTTTAATTGTTTGTAACTATTAACAACGTCGACCGATTTCGATGAAATAGAACGCATTTTGTAAATGTTCTTTATAGGTTCAGATAAAAGAAGTTGAAAAACTTGTGTTTCTTTATTTATTTTGTCATTTAAAAAATTATAGGAAAGCATTTAAATAGTCATTCAGTAGGCATTTAACTAATCATTTTCTTGTAGATTAATCCCTTTATCATCTAAAAAAAAAAAAGAAAAATTCGAGTCGTTTAGTCCAATTTTAAAAAAGTTACAGCGTTTTAAAAGGTGTACACCGCTGTGACAAGTTTGAGGACTCAATAACCTTACTGATTGCTAATAAGGTTGCTAATCAAGCCTACACGTTTGAATTTACGCAAACAGTATTTATCTTTTATTCTTGACAAACAGTACTGTCTATTCCTAACGAGTTTGGGGACTTAATGTCCTCAAGGATGATTAAAGATTCATTCTTCTTCTCAATAATTCAAGTTTAAGGCTGCAGATTATATAATCAAGGCTATATGTTTGAAACAGTACATGCTGAATCTGCACAAATATTACGCTGTTTTTCTTCTTGAAAAACGGTACTGTCTATTCAAAACATGTTCGGTGATTCAATGGTCTTAAGGACGACTAAAGATGCGTCATTCTTTTCAATTCTATGTGAGTTTGCGCAAACATTATTCACATCCTTCGTAATACATACATTTACATTTGAACATCAACTGTAACAATGTTATCTAATATGTCATCATTGAGAAACAGTACTATCCCCACTCTGTTAGTCATCCACAAATTGTTTTACGCTGAACTACAATTCGATTCAACGGCATTTAAAATTTCTGAGTATCAACCTTGAAGATAAAGTACCTCCGTATCGAAAATATCTGGCAATAACGAGCTAAAGCGACTCGAAAGCACCGAATTCAAATCTCGAGATCTGTCAATTCGTTGTACTAAGAACTGTGTTACCGAACCTAAAGAACCCCTGTTCCGACAGAAAAACACCAGGTTCGTCTCATCTCTGTGGCATCGCGCGGAAGAACAGCTGCAGCTCGCGCAGTTAGAAGACAGCAGCTCCGTGGAATTCGAGAAACCGAACGAAATTGAATTGGTACCGAGGGGGAACGTTCGACGGGTCCGTAAGGGGCGTTGGGCTCGTTGGAAATTCCCGAGGAGAGATCGACAAAGCGCCGGGGCGTCGTAAAGCAAGACCCGAACGACCAACTCCGCTCCGTGCAACTGATCGTTACTCGTTTACCCGTCTCGTTCTTAGCTGAACTTTTGTCTCTCGGACCGGCACCGCGCGCTCACGAGTATCCGAGCCGAGGATCGGTAAGCGATCGCGGCGATTTCGAGGCTGGAAAAAACGGCAAGCGATCCAGCAGCGATTACCGTGCCGAAAATCGGGGAACGCGGCGATTTACAAGCTGAAAATCGGCAAACGGTATCCGGCGAGATCTGATCGAAAAATCGGCGTGTTAACAGCGACGATTTCGGAGCCGTAAATTGGCGTGCTGTCCAACCATTTCTGAACCGAAGATCGGCAAATAATCGCGGCGATTCGAAAGATCGATGATCGGCGAGCAATCCGGCGATATCTAAGGCCGAGAATCGGCCCAGCGATCGTGACAATTTCCATGCCAAAAATCGGCGAGCGTATCGGCGATGTCTGAGCTGAAAATCGGCAAGAAATCGCGGCGTTTTCGACACCGAGAATCGGCAAGCAATCGCGGCGTTTTCGAAACCGACGGATCGGCAAGCGAACGCGGCGTTTTCGAAACCGACGATCGGCGAGAGATCAGGCGATTTCCATGTCGGAGATCGGCGTTCGACCGATCTCGAGCCGGCGTGATCGGTCGAGCAGGCGACAACGATGCTCGATTTCTTTCTGCGAACAGAGAAACCGATCGGACGAAGAGAGAAAGAAAGAAAGAAAGAGAGAGAAAGAGTCGCGTTGATGGATCGTGTAATTTAATCTTGTACAAAAATAGGGTACATTTTGTATATTGTTAAAAGTTTGTGTGATATAAATGGTTATGTATTTACTATTAATGCGGCGAGTATGGGACTTCGCGCGTCCCACGGGCGATCGCGCGATAGTTTCGAGCACCAGGACCACTGGATGCAGAGCGTAGATGGGATCGTTATATCATGTTGACAATTGTGCTTGGTTACTTGCTTTCAATTAATCGCCGATTCAATTTTCCAGCGACGACAAGTTTCTTGATCGAGAGACGATAATTTGCATTTCATTTCTGCAAATTAATTTCTCTTCTATCGGATCGAAAGCCTGGATTATTATTAGAGTCGGTTGACTCCGCATGCGATTTTGTTGTGCGAAGACGTTTTAATTTTTGTTTCGTGGTATTTCTTTTGAAGAGTGGTGCGAACGCGCGAGAGACAGCGATTTGCGTTCGTTTGACGATGTTCGATGGAACGACAAGTTAAGAACGCCTTGCATCCAGTGGTGCTGGAACGTAGAGCAACGTCCTCAGTTGAGCGAACACGCGGCCGGACTAACACGCGGTCCGACGCGTTTAGTTAATTTTGTTATTTGGTTTAATCTCGACTTCTTATCCGGGACCCGACATCTGTGAATGGTTTCGCGGCCTCTTGTAAAATACAAAATACACGGACACACATACAAAACACGTTTATTAATTAATAAAATCACAAGTTTTTAGAAAACCACACTCGGATCGTCCTAGTTCATTTCTTTCCCCCACCCGTTTTTCCAATGTAATATACTTAAGACTATAAGGAACAGCTTCTTCCTCACGGTCAGAATGACCGCTTCCTTAGCTTGAAATTCTGCGAACTTTGGAGACTCTTTCAATGGAAAATGCTTGTATAAATTACATTATTGAAGCAAGTTTTATAATAAAAACTTTAGGTCGGTGCGACGAATAAAATTACATTGCCAAGACAGCTCAATGTATTTTCTGTGTATTTCACCACTTTGATGGCTTTTGATGATCCCGTGATATTGATAGATCCATCTTGGAATATTTGCACATCGATTTCCTTTGGTATACTTGTACATTTCTTTGATGTTAGTATTAATACCCTCACTGAACTTTAATGTAAATAAATAGCCAATAATTGAGCCGTTTATTTTGAAAGTGGCATAAGTCACTTTTCCAAAAAAATCGAGTTAATGGTAACACTAATTACAATTGAACGGTATCTTTTCATTTAAAAAAAAAGAAAAAGTGACTTATGCCACTTTCAAAATAAACGGCTCAATTGAAACTGGTAGCTATTGTAAATTCGCTATCCTAAGGAGTGTAAAGAGTAAGTTGTGCCATCAGAGACAACTTGTCTACTTACAATTGATGTTGCAATCACTATTAAATGATCCATTAGAAAATACTGAACTATTTGTGTGAGTTAGGTTCTAAGTTCTAAATTAGGTGTTACTTAATTTCTTCATTTGCAACTGTAGTTGAAACCACAACTGAATAATCCATTACATAAGGCTCAACTTCACTAGTTTAGGTTCGAATTAGGTTTGGTGCAGACTTGGGTAAAAATATTTTGAGAAAGTATTGGTAACAGTTTCTAGAACTCTCTTGTTTCATAGAGACAAGAACATGTATTGAAAATAGGTTTTTACGTTACGTTTCATTTCATGCACAATAATGAAAATATTTATTTCAATAAAGTACTGCAGATTCATATTCTAAAATATACAGTTTCAAACGCTTATTATACTATTGCTGTAAAGTCAACTAAATATTTCAATTAGTATTATCAATTAGTATTATT